GGCCCCACACGCGTGGCTGGGGCGGCCGAGTCTCTCCCCAGTAGCCCCTGCCCCGGCTCTCAGCTTTGAAGTACTAAAGTAGCCTTAACCTTCTATGCATAAACTTTCTTTACGACTTTAGGGACTTCGTATTCAAATAATAATACAACCTGTAAACGAAACCCTGCCTCTCTGGTGGACCTAGCAGTCCAGTACAGAGCACTGTGAGGGCTCAGGGGTTTGCTCAGATAGTTTCACAGTTGATACGGTATGAAAATGTCTCAAACTGAAGAGCTGCCTCATAACCTGCAAGATACCCGTTGCAGTTTATATTCAAGAGATTTTATTCTAAACCACTGTATTTCTTTTTTTCTTCTGGTAGATGAAAATGAAGCAGAGAGGCCAGAGGAAGGAAAAGCTAGGTGAGTATCTTGACAACTGTTAAGTCCTGTAGTTTGGCTGCACAAGAATTGTATTAATTACATTCTTCTTTGCAGCTCTTTGAAAGTCCGTAGTGATACTGTAAAATTTGGTTGCTGAAAGAACCCTCTAACACTTTAAGTTTCAGAAGGCAGGCAGTCTGTTACATTGCTGGATATACAGGGGATTGTTAATCCTAACAGTCGTAACATTCATGTCACAAGTTGAAACAAGCAAAGCTTATATTGTCCAACATAAACATATGCATTAGATTCCCTGGAATAGCTATGCATAGTCATTCCGTTTCCTGGAACTAATTTTAATATTTGCATTCTAATTACACATGCTCTTTGAGCCTCTGAGGGTCTTCGGTGGTCTTCAGGGGTCACTGCTGTGTCCTTTAGTTGAACTCTCTTTTTAAGCATGTGCAGTATGGACTAACCTACTTGCAGGTTTTATCTCCCTATGGTTATTTAGTCTTGGCCACAGTGTCTGCTTGTTCATCCTTCAGATTGCACAGCTGAAACAAGTAAGAACCAAGCACAGCAGTATGACTGTATGAGGCATAATGGAATGGCTCTCGTATAATTTACTTTTACAAGCCTGAGTTCACAGGCATCAGTTGTGCCTGAACACATGCTGGTGTCTTTGAAAATTCCCTTAAGGTAGTACGTTTGGTATACTAGAATGTCTTTGCTTTTCTGTGAAATGGTTTTACCTGTGAAATTGGGACATTTGAGTATGGAAGTTACTGAAAGTTTTAACTCTGTAGACAGGTAAAGGGAAATGGCACCAAGCTACAATACAGGAAGTTCCACCTCAACCTACGGAAGAACTTCTTTACTGTGAGGGTGTCAGAGCACTGGAACAGGCTGCCCAGAGAGGTTGTGGAGTCTCTTTCTCTGGAGACTTTCAAGATCTGTCTGGA